ATGTCATTTGTCTATATTTGAAAAATATGTTTAAAAAGGTGGGGGCACAGTGAAGGTGACTAGTTACATATGAGGTGCATCGCATACAATTAATCTTATTGTGTTGGATGGGTTGAAGAAATATGCTAATTCCATTGATAAATTTAGTGATGTTGTAAGATACAATTTATTTTTGTGTCTTGATTGCCCTACTCGCTAGAATTTCACTTATGAAATGTTGGATACAATTTTGAAATACAAGGATGTTTTGTGAAGGTTGATCTTTCAAGGGAGTTAAAAAATATGAAAATTTTGGATCCGTTTAATGAAGATTATGATTAGGTGACACTTTCATGTCTTATTGGTTTCCTCAAAGAGTTTTATAACCTAACTAAAAAAGTATCCGGCTTTTTGAATGTCAAAGTAACACCCTTTTCATTCATATGTGTCATACATTTGTTGAAATGCCTTATTAATAGTAATGTTTGTTTACAAAATATAGCACCAAAAATGAAGTATGATAAATATTGGGGTGATATTGGAAAAAGATGAACACACTGATTTACATGGACTCTGTTCTTCATCCGAGTCTTAGGTTGATTGGCGTGAAGATTTGTCTAATTGTTTCGTATGGTGAAGAAAATAAAACATTTCTTTTTGAAAATATAAAAAAAATGTGTATGACTTATACGAAGAGTATAGGAAAGTGTATGTTGCTCCGGTTGTCATTGATGAAACTTGAGTAAGTGTGGTTCAAGCTTCACTTCTTCAACGTTGATTCAACTATATTGATGAATTGGTTAATGATCCAATTAAGCAATGGTTCATAACAAAATTGAAAAAGTAGTTTGATAGCTACATAGATGAAAAAAGGGAGATGAGGAGAAATATTTTTGACTTGGTGGAAGCTTAATGGTCTAAGATTTCAGGTGGTTGCACATATGACTCATGATATTAATTGTCCCAATATCTACCGTAGCTTCGGAATCTGCATTTAGCATCAGAGGGCGTACTATATTGATCAAGAGTACGCTCTCTGATGCTAAATGCAGATTTTGATGCTACTGTATATACCGGGATAACTATTATAGCATGAGTTATATGTGCAACCACAAAAAATCTTGGACTATTAAGCTTTCACCAAGTCAAAACATCTTTTTCTTACTTGTGTCCCCATTCGTCATCAATGTAGTGATCAAACTCATTTCTTGAATATTATTGTGACCCACTCATTTGTTTGATTCAATCTTTAACCCATATTCATTTATATAATCGAATCAACCATTGAATAAGTTAAGCTTGAATCACTAATTACTCCATCTCATCAATGAAAATCAGAGGAGCATACACTTTCATATACTCTTCATACAAGTCACACACAAATTTGTTTATATTCTCAAAAAAACACTATCTATTCTTCACTATACGAATCGATTAAACAAATATTCACTCCAATCAACTTAAAATACTGATGAAGAACAGAACTCGTGTAAATCAGTTTGTTCATCTTTTTTCAATATCACCTCAATATTTACCATACTTCAACTTCATTTTGAATATCATACTCCCTCTGTCCCTCAATACTTTGCCAAGTTTGACCGGCACGGGATTAATAAAGTAAAAACTGTGTGGTTGAGGTTTGTGCAGAGGAGAGAGAATTAACTGGAACCACAAATTCTTTACTCAAAAGGGAAAGTGACAAAGTTAGTGGGATATTCAAAAAAAGGAAAGTTGGCAAAGTTACAAGTGACGGAGAGAGTATTTTGTAAACAAACATTACAATTAATAAGCTATTTCTTCGACAAATCAAATGTATGACAAATATGAATGAAAACGATGACACTTATAACATACAAAGAGCCAGATACGTTTTTAGTCAAGTCAGGTCAATAAATTCTTTGAGAAAACCAATAAGATATTCAAGTGTCACCCAATCATCTTCATTAAGCGAACACAATGTTTCCATATTTTCTAACTTCCTTGGAAGATCAACCCTAAAAAAACAGTCTTGTATTTCAAAAGTGTCTCCAACATTTCGTATGTGGAATTCTAGAGACATTTTAATATATCTCGCAACAACGCTAAACTTAACAATGAAATTAACATGTTCCTTCAAAGCATCCCACACAATAAGATTAATTATGTGTGCAATGCACCTCGCATGTAACTAGTCAACTCTATTGATGCCCCCACTTTTTTGAACATATTCTTTAAATATAGACAAACAACATGATTAGAGCTAGCTTTATCAACAATGACAGTAAACAACTTTTTCCATATCCCCAAACATTTAGACAATCCTCCACAACCCTACCAATTGTCTCACCTTTGTGACTAGAAATTGAACAAAAAATTAATATTCTTTTTTTTGCAATCTCCACTGATCATCAATAAAATGAGCGGTGATACACATATAATTTATATTTTGATTTTTTAAAGAATAAATCAAGTGTTGGCAGTAACACTAAATTTCTGGCATGATTTTTTTAAAAATCTTTCAACCTCCTATTTTTTAAGATAAAACTTGTAACAATCATGTGCAATAGTGGTTCGTGAGGCTATATGAAAAAGGAGGCAAGCGATTTGCAAAAAAATGTCTAAATCCGAGGTTTTTCACAATATAAAGGACAACACATCAATAATAACTATATGGTATAATGTCTCCCTCACTTCCTCTAAATTAACACCCTCTTTATTTCTAAAAGAATCACCCTCTCTATCAATAGGACTCACACAATTATCAATGAGATGGGCTTGCTTACCTCCTTAATGTCTATTGGCTGGATTGTTTTTGCAAAACTCAGCGTGATGCTTCACGTTTGTTAATCGATTAACATTCAGATCTGCAATAAAGGTGGAGTCGCAATACATAAACTTGGCTCTCAATTTTTCTTCCTTGTCTAAATACTCCCAGAAATAAATCCAATAAACACCTCTCCGTTTTATTTAGACATATCTCCGAGCCACTTTAAACTGTTTTTGCACATCTAAATTGCCACTTCAGACATATCTGAGATGACATTTCATCTAGAACTTCCTCTGGCACAGTGGATGAATTTCTGTTATGGTTTATTTAGAAATGATACACCTTTATCACGACCAATATGACTTGACATCTTGACATCTGTTAAAAAATGAATTTAAATTGAAACTTAATATTAATAGCTCAAACTAAAAAAACATTGTTAACAACAAAAGCAATAAAAACAAAATATAAGCTACAACCTTAAATTCCAGAGGAGAATCACATTGGTAGATAGTATAGTAGTATACAACTAAGATATTTGCCAAAATTAACTCAACTTACAATCTTACACACTTCTGACATACATATCAGACTATCAGTTGCTGCCTTCAATTTAAGGACCTAAATCTCCGGGATTTGTTGCTCAGGTAAAATGTGGTAAAGTTTGTGAACTTCGTAAGTCTCTTTGTGGTCTAAAAGAGAGTCCTCGTGCATAATTTGGGAAATTCAGTCAATCAATCGAACAATTTAAAATGATAAAAAGCAAATCAGATCACTCAGTCTTTTACAAACAAACAAAAGCAGGTATCACTTTGCTTGTGGTGTATGTCGATGATATCGTGATTATAGGAAGTGATAATGCAGATATTTTGGCCCTCAAGAATTTTCTTCATAGCTAACTCCAATCAAAGGATCTAGGCTAATTGAAAATATTTCTTGGGTATTGAGGTAACAAGGAGTAAGAAAGGCATATTTTTATCTCAACGAAAATATGAACTTGATTTGCTAGGCGAAACAAAAAAAAAGTGGGATCAAAGCCGTGCAACTCATCAAGAAGGCATGCCATTTTAAGACCCTGAAATATATAGAAGATTGATTGGAAGGCTTAATTATCTCACAGTCACTCCTCCAGATATTGCTTACTCTGTGAGTGTAGTGAGTCAATACATATCATCTTCGACCATTGATCATTGGGCTGCTGTAGAACACATATTTGTTACTTAAAGGAAGCACCTGGACGAGGTATTGTTTTTCAAAACCATGATCACATGAAAATAGAATGCTTTGCTACTGGGCCGGTTTTAAAGACGATCAAAGATCTACATCTGGCTATTGCGTCTTTGTTGGTGGTAATCTTGTATCCTAGAAGAGTAAGAAACAAAATGTGGTTTCTCGTTCAAGTGTTGAATCAGAATATCGAGTTATGGCACAATCTACATGTGAGATCATATGGATAAGCCATCTATCGAGTAAATTCCGATTAAAGACATCAATGTCTGCTAAATTGTGGTGTGATAACCAAGCTGTTATACACATAGCAAACAATCCCGTATTTCATGAAACAAAGCATATTGAAGTTGATTGTCACTTTATTCAAGAGAAGATACAAAAAGGATTGATCTCTACCAGATATGTGAAGATTGGAGAACAACTTGGAGATTTATTTAATAAAGCTCTAAATGGGATTCGCGTTAATTACTCATGTAACAAGTTGGGCATAATAAATATCTATGCTCCAACTTGAAGGGGAGTGTGAAAGAATTTATCTAAGAGTATGCTTTAGGAATATATCTAAGAATATGATTTAGGAATATACTCTAGACATTATTATTGTATAGCATCTTATACATAAATATCCCTTCTTTGTATAGGGCCTTAACCCTCCAATGAAATTAACAGAAAATCTTTATATAGGGCCTTAACCCTCCAATGAAATACACAGAAAATCTTTTCCTCTTTAATATATTTCTTAGTTTATATGCTTTATTTCAACACAGCAGTTCATATAACTTTATTTATAAATTAATATAGATTCAAGTTAGATTGTTCTTACTTTTAAATTGGCTTAAATTATTTAATGTAGAGTTCTAGTTTATCTGTATACCACAACACTTACAACATATAATGAAAACGGAAAAACAAAAGCAGCACAAATTTATATATATATATATATATATATATATATAATACAAGAAGCAACTCATCCACAGAAGTATGACATTAAAATCTTTTTGGAACAAAAGCGTGAATTTAATAGTGAGAGAGAGAATTATACAGGAGATTCAGCTGCGACCGGGATCGACTAGATGGGACAATGGAAGGTTGGACGCAGCTTGGGGACTGATGATATCTGACGGGTAGAACCTCAATTTACTCAAGTCCATAGTATCATGTCCTGAAAAGCAGGGTTAGGAGATAAACTTTTTCAGAGAGGGAGGGCAAAGAAAATTGAAGAACTATGTGCAGTAAATCTCACTAAAGGGAAAAGAGAGCTTGCTAGTTTGAGTTTATATCAGGTATATTTCCTACCTTAAGCAAAACAATAGGATGACTGCAAAACACTGATCAAGACTTCTTGGATAAGGGTGACTGCAAGAACACTGAGCTAGACTTCTTGAAACAGGAAGGCTATGCGAAGAATGGAAGATGACAACTAGCGCCTTCAGATAGATAATAAAAAAGAAGTTCTGTTTAGAAAATGACATTTGTTGCACTTTGGCATACACACTTTGTAAACACCGAGTCAAGTTGGATCACAATCATTGTTTATGAATTTATGTCACAAACAAGTCATGTCTGAGTGAAGAAATCTATCTGAAAAAACTGTAAATTGTTGAAACAGAAGACTAACTTTGGTCACAAACATTGGTTTGAGCGGCCACAATCAGTTTGTGTACAATGCACAGATGTCTATGTTAGTGTGCATGAAAACAAATGTCTATACGTAGGAGTGCATTACCTCTTTACCTCTTTCATTATGATGACAAGTTGACAACCATATCATTAAGTCACCAGCATATTAAATACAGCTTCATTAACTATTAAAAATAGCCTTAAGAGTAACAAACATGGTTGAACTATGTGAATAACAGAAAAAAGAACATATGTGCCTGGTTCTTAATGTAACTTGGGCTGAACTTGTTGAAATTGTGACTAAACTCACTGAGGGTATTGATATTGTGCCTGAGATAGCTTAATTGTGGCTGAAATGGGTAAACTTGTTGGACCAGTTTAGAAGATATTTTCTTAATAAATTAAAAAATAATAGCATGTAAAAAGAGTATAGGTGTCATTTGTATTCATTTCAGAAAATTTGGCAAAAAAATACATTTTTACACTAATTTTCATTATTGACCAGTCAGCACATTGACTGGTGCACATTGGAATCCCCGCAAGGTGAGGGTCCGGAGAAGGGTGTATAAGGAGCAAGTCTTCTCTTTCTATTTTTGACAAGAGTCCACACCCAAGACTTGAACCTGTGACCTCTCTCACCCACAGGAACAGTAACCTGTGCAGCAAGGCTCCCCTTCATTGAAGATTGGTTGAAAATTGAAATAGACCATAAAGGAAAGGTTAGAATACCTCTTCTTCAGTTGATGATCAATTGCACTAATATTCTTCATCCCATACATAACTTAGACATCTGAGTACCTGCAGTATCTCTGTGATTCTTGAATGGGAAAAATCACCTATTGTAAACTTTTCTACAGATCTCTCCACTTCAATCAAGCTGTGCCCTGCCTCTTTCTTTAACCCACTTCCCTTCAACATCTTTCTTGCACCGGCAACACAATCCCACATCCCATCTGACGCATATAGATTAGACAGCAAAACATATGGTGAAGTAGTAACAGGTTCAACCATCAGAAGCCTCTTAGCCACACGTTCCCCTATGACAACATCACCATGCAGCCGACATGCCGAAAGCAGGCAGCCTAGAACAACTGGATCCTTCCCAAAATGGTACTTCTGCATATATTCTTCAGCACTTTTTAGTCTCCCAGCTCGTCCCAGAAGATCAATTAAGCAAGAAAAGTGCTCAATATTAGGAGTGATCCCGTGAATGTATTGCATGGAGACGAAGAAGGATTGGCCCTCATCAACAAGCCCTGCATGGTTGCAAGCCATTAAAAGTCCTAGGAATGTAACAGAATCTGGTTTGAACCCAAGTTTCTCCATTTCCTTGTACAGTTGTATTACTATTCCTCCACGACCGTGGTTTGCAAATCCAGCTATGATGGTATTCCAAGATACCAAATTATGGCAATGCATTAGCCTAAAAACAGAATAAGCATGTTGCATACATCCACATTTAGCATACATGTTAACAAGGGCATTGCTAACAGTTACATCTACGCTCTGCCTAGTTCTAACTAAGTGAGCATGTATCTCACCACCTAGACGTATAGAAGCCATGCCAGCTGATGCAGAGAGAACACTCGCATATGAAAAGTCATCAACATATCCCTGTGCCATATATCTAAAGACGTTCAAGGCTTTGTTGTGATCATCACAATTAGAATAGGCAGCAATTAATGTGTTCCATGATATGATATCTGTCTCACTTATCATTGTAAAAACCTTCTCTGCTTCATCGATCAAATTCAACTTTGAGTACATTGTCATTAATATGTTTCCAATGAAAACACTCGAGTCAAGTTTCAACTTGATGGTTTGGCCATGCAAACTCATTCCTATACCCAAATCCTCAGGTGTACAACAAGTTCCTAACAATCCAACATAAGTGAACCGGTCTGGAATCAATCTCCGTTGACACATAAGTTTGAACATCTCAAAGGCTCTCTGTTTATGATTATTTTCTATCATACCAGTAATTATTGCATTAAAAGAAACAACACTGGATGCTGGAGTACTAGCAAAAACTGACAAGCCGTCATCACACTTGTTACATTTCATATACATCGACATTAGTGAGTTGGAGACAAAAGAGATAGAGGAGTAACCTAATTTGATAGACTTGCAGTGGATCTGTTGCCCATCTTTCAGTGCCAAAAGATTGGCACAAGAGCTCAGGCTGCTAGAAAGTATATATTCATTTGGCTCTAGATTCATTTGACCAAAGAGCTTGACAGCCATCACATGCTTCCCAGATTGATCATAACCAGATATCATGGCTGACCAAGTCACCAAGTTTTTGTCAGGCATCTCATCAAACACTTGGCTGGCAAATTTGAGGTTACCACACTTAGCGTACATGTTGAGAACATGATTGGAGATTATAACATCACACATCATGCCAGTCCTAATAGCAACTGAATGAAGGGAAAGTCCACATTTGAGTGACTTAGTCTTAGAACAGTGATGCAAAAGTGAAGAAAGAGTTTCCACAGCCATCTTACACATCTCAGGAAAATTCAAGGTAATTGAGTGTCCCGTCTTGTACTTCTGTCACATACCAAACATGGTAGTTAGAACATTTGTGCCAGTATACACCGCCTTCTGTCGCCGGAGATTGGATAACCGACTAGCAGAGTTGCCGAGTTGAGACTTGAGAGTAGCGAATAGCCTCGAAGCCAAACTGCGGTCGACGGTCGTTGCTTACAGCGCACTTGCTTAGGACAGTGCTCTTGTGGATAGCAGCTTGCTAGGCCCAGCTCCGCCCCTGATTGGGAGGAATCCGCTGACTGCTAGGTTTGTTCGCCTATGGTGATTGTCTATATTTCTGGAACGAGGGACCGTGCCGTTCATTCGGAGGAGAAAACGTACCATCGCGTTTGAGCCAGGCGCCTTCAAATGCTGAAGATGGCAGCTCAGCTCGGGTTGTTGCGGTCTGTGTCTTCTCCGTGAAGAAGAGGAACAGTAGTACGGGCGGAGGTTCGCTGCGGCTTGAGGTTGGGTTTCGGCTGAAATAGTACGGGGTTGGGGTTCAGCTGAAATATTACGGAGTACTTGTTGTTTAATTTAGGGCCGAAGGAATTAAGTATGCATTTAGGCCAAGGTTCTCTTTTGGGCTGATCTGGAGTATCATTATTATCTGGGCTGAGTTATTGTTTGGCTTTAGGCTTGCATGTTTCTGCTGTAGTTGACCAAGAGGCCGTTTGGCAACACTGTTTTTCAGCTTATCAGGCTTATCAGCCAATTTTTTCACCAAACACGTAATTTTTTGCTTTCGCGAGCTGAATTGTGTAATAAGCAGAAAAAGTAAGATTGGAGTTACTTTTCTGGCTTAATTGGCTGAAGTTACTTTAGATGACTATTTTAGCTATTTTTACATACAATTTTCTCTTTATTTTATTAATAAAATCTATTTTGAAAATAATTTTTTCTTAAATCAGCAGAATCAGCCGATGCAACCACTTCAGCCAGAACTTCATAAATTTCAGCAGAATCAGCCAAATTAGCCGATTTTCGTGCTACCAAACGGACTCCAAATCTTGACCAACCGAGAAATTTTGCTAGGGCATTGTTCGATGTTGGACCGAAGTTGTAGGACTACTGATCGAGGACAAGAGAGGATTTAGAAGCTTATGATTTGAAGGCCTTAAATCATATTTTGATTTTTTTTTTAATATAAGGGATCAACTTTTTTATTAAAATCGAGAAAAGATAAAGGGTCCGTTTGGTAGTTCACACATTAAAACTTTACATGCAAAATGATTGCATGTAAAATGTAGGATCGTGATTGGTTTGCATGTAAAATTAAAATACATCGTTTGGTTGTCTATATAGCCTATTTTTAAATTACATGCAAACTCTTAATAATGTTTAGTTGGAAAATAATTTTAAATGTAAAATATTTACAAAAGGACTATTGTATGCGCCGTTCAGCAAACCCGTGGGTGATGCGAAATTAGATTGGAAGGCGTAATTTCTAAGCCAAACTTCAATGGGAAAATCTGAAACAAAGAATCGAGCAACACTTCAATATGTGGAACTTGACTAGAAAAGCCAAGTTCAATTTCTCAGCCAATTATATTACGATTGCCAAGTCCTCAACTAAGGAAGATGATATAGCAATTCAATCAATATGTCGAACCTTTTCCAGTAGCATCTTGTTGATGATATAGCAAACCAATCGGTTGCAAAAGTTAAGTTTAATAAACCAGATTAGTATTTGACCTTGTTTTTTTTCTGAACTTAAGGAGTGTTTGGGGTTGCTTAAAAAAGCACTTTTCAACTTTTGGCTTAAAAAAAATTGAAAAGAGTGTTTTCAAATGATAGTTTCTACTTAAATTAATCACTTAAAAGCTAAAAGCTAGAAGCAGGTAGAAGAGTGCTTTAAACTGCTTCTCACTTTTTCTATTACACAAAAAGTATTTATTTTACCAAACACTACCAACTTTTACTTTTTCAGAATCACTTTTTTCTCAAACACTACCAACTTTTACTATTAATCATTTTTCCAAAAATCACTTTAAAAAATCACTTTTTCAAAGTTGAAGCAATTGCAAACACTCCCTTAGAATCGTGTGCGGCTATTGCAAGTTGCATCTATTGCTGCTAGAATACCGAATAAAAGTATGGCAACACAAATAGCTAGGCCGAAATTGTATTACGATATTGATATATTGTATATCGATATATTTGTTCTCCACATTAACGGAGGATGTAAACTAGTTTACTACCCTCCGCCCACGTAAAGTATTTTACATGGTACAGTGTAAACTGTTTTTTTAAAAGTGTCCTACAGTTTACATTAAATAGTTAAAACAAACGGTGTAAAATGTTTACTCCCTCAAACTTTACATGCAAAATATTTACTTTACATCATAACAAACGGGCCCTTAGGATTACAAGTTTAACTGGTCGCATTTAAATTAGAGATATGATATAATTTGAGATCGAAGTTAGCTCAATTAAAAACAGGTCAAAAAACTTCTAGATTAAACATTATTATTACTCGTATTACAAACTTCTTTTTGTGGATCTGGAAGGCAGGCAGGCAGGGCCGCCGCATCTTAAATCTTAATGGAGAAGCTACGACATGCGATGCATGGCTGTGTTCTAAACCTCAAATTCGCAACTAATTAATTTAATTAACTGATGATTGATTGAAACCGTTGGAGAAGCTGGCCGGCCACTTGTTGCATTGTACTCCATAAATAAATTGATTTATTATTATTTATTGAGCCCAACACACTTGCACACCTAAAATAGGATGGGGATCCTCTACTGTGCGGTAGAGTACCTTGCCGCAGGGTAGCCGTCGGATGGAGAAGGTCACGCCTCGAGATTCGAACTTCAAATCTTCCGTCGTTGAAATATTGATCGGACGTCTTTTAGAAGCCGGGCAGAGGGGTAATTTCTTAGACTACGGGAGTCTTGAGCCGACATAGCAAATTTACGGGACTTTTTGACCACTTTCTAAGAATACGGGAAACAGTAGTACATAGCCGATGTGTCAGAGGTCTGAACAGAAAGTGGGGTTTCTCTACTCGGATTTGCAAACTTCACAATTTATTGCTCTGGGATTTCACTAATCCCACTTTATTGCTGCTATTTCAAAAGGGTTGATAGGAAATGTTCAAGTGGCGTACTGGAGAGTTAGGAAATACTTCGTAATAATAAATATATCACTCTGTATTATTATTATAACAAAAATTATACTACATTCGTCCCGCAATTAACTTCCTACTTTGACCTACACACATATTTAGAAAATAAATTTGATTTTACTGTGGAGTGCACTGTTTTTGTTAGAAAATAGAAGAGGTTGTAGGTCTATGAATATGATAAGTGATTTTAGTGAGGTGTAGTATAGAGGAGGTGATTTAGAGTAGAACTCTTATCTCTAGAAAAGAAGTATTGTATTGATATTGCTTGGGTTTGCTTGGTAAGCAAATGAGTACAATGAGTCCTATTTATAGGGGTTATAGGATCATTCTAGATCCTTATTAAATGCTAGGATTCTAGAGTATTCTACTTCTATTTAATCTAGACTCTCCTTAAGAATTCTCTAGTAGAGAATTCTCTAGAACCTTTTTAGCCATAACTCTCTAGAACATTTATATCTTTAACTTCATAGAATATTCTAGATAAATGCATCACTATTTAATAGTTTTGCACTCTTTAAACATTGTTTGACACTGTTTTGCACTGTTTGGCACTGTTTGACACTGTTTTGAGGTAAAAAATTTGCCAAATAAGGAAAGTTTTAAAGTGTGAAGTTAATTTTGGGACTGCCCAAAAAGGAAAGTGAGAAGTTGTTTACGGGACGGAGGGAGTAACAAAAATAATAATGTAAATAACAACAACAACAACAGCAACAATAATAAAAGATTTCTTTTTTGACTAAAATAAAATTTAATTACATAAATATGACTAATAGTTATTGCAGTGTATTATCATGGTAATTTGAGTCTAAAAATTGAACATAAGTTATCATGATTTCATTGCTATTCTAGTCAGATCACTAGTCACATTTTAGTAAACAATCTTTAATTTAGTCTTAAGTATGTAAATAATTCCAATAATTCAAGTTGGGTTTTCAGTTTAAATTTTTTTTAACAACTTACGATCCACCGAAATATATAAAAAATGAATACAATATTAAAAATAATAAAAAGACCACACAAGTAGAGATCTTTTTATAACAATGAAATTGATTGAATGAGATACTTCAATTGAAATTTATGAAATTCTGTCCGATTTAGCTGGAATGGCTTACGGTGACTTATGAAAAAATTATATTTAAAATATTTTTATTGATAAAATAAAAAAAAATAGATGAAATTGCCTTTTACAGTATATTCAGTCAATTCAAAGAAGGTGGTATTTAAGAGAGTTAATTGTTTCTTAAAATAGAAATGTGAACTTTAATATGAGATGTCTAAAAAATGAAAGTGAAAGCCTTAAGTGTTGGGAAAAGGAGTAATTACACTTCATAATATAAAGTGTTCTATTGTCTCTATAATTTAGTTGGTTTTCTTTTTAATCTATCACCAATGATAACAACCCCACTTGACATCGAAATAACCTGGCTCATAGACTGTCTCTAATTGTTTCTCATCTTTTTCAAAAAGTATTTTATTTTATTTTTGGTAAGGTTTTTACTACCTTCGTCCCAATTCGATGTTCTCAGTTCCTATTCACTTGGTCAACAAAAATCACCTTTAATCTCTTAATTTACATATCAAACTTTTATCAAATTTGGTTCTGATTTTTGCGACATTGTAAAACTTTTAATGTAGTTTATGAATTTGTAATATTTTTCCCCTAAAAATAATTTGAGTGCGGACATGGACTCGTTTGCTTTATCATCGATCAAGCATCGTAAAGCGCAACAGGAACATCAAACTGGGACGGAAGGAGTAATGTATATTTTTTAAATGTGAATACTTAGTTTTACATCATTTTAACTCTCATATTAGGCTAAAAAATTATAAAAGGACAAATTTAAATATTTATATTAGATGTATGCAACCGACAATAACTTATTTTATATGTAGAGTGATTTCGAGAGATCGACTAAAAATATGGAGTACATATTATAATGATGAAAAAACATTTTGCACAGACTTAAGATAAAGTGTGATTGTCATATTTATAGGGTCTAAAAACGTTTTTAAGCTTAAATTAATTTTATTGGATAATCCCAAAAAAACGAGGGACGTAGCTCACTTGATAGAAAGGGGATGCCACAAGGGAGAGGTCCCGAGTTTAACTCTTGGAATGGAATCCGATTCTCTTTTCATCAGAGTGAGATCAAAACTTAATTTATATCATCCTATAGAACTTTTCGAAATCAAAGTGAGATCAAAAATTAATTTACATCTTACCATATAACTATTCGATCGATTTTGGAGGATTCTTCATAGATAGAGAGTGTCATCCCAATAATACCGAGTATTATCTACGTAGTTATACTATACCATATAAATTAAACTCTTATCACGCGCAATCATATTAGTTGATCAAGCAATACTATTTGAAACATACATTCATAG